CCCCAACTGCAGACAAGGCGGCCCCCAACCTTCACATCTCCAACAAGGCCTTCCCTGTTGGTCAGTGTGAAGTGGAGCAGCATTCCTTGTGGGATCCTCTACTCCCTGTGAAAGGAAGTCGTCATCAGTGCTTTCTAGGAACCTCCTGGACTGTTTGTGCTTTGCTGTGTTGTTTCCCCAGCTGATGCCAGGGCAGTGAAAGTGCCCCACAAGAACCAGGGCCCGTGACTTTGTGGCTGCTTCCAGCTGCCTGTAGAAGGCCTCATCCACTTCCTCCCCTTGATCCAGAGGGATGTAGCAAACACACACACCAGTGTCACCCGGACCAGGCTGCCCTTTAATCCTGACCCACAAGGTCTCACCTGCTCATCATCCTCACTGAGACAGAGCTTGGCACATTCCAAGTGTTGCCTCACATCCAGGCAATTCTACCATGGGCCCTTTCCTGCTCTGTCTCTCCAGAGCAGTGTGGGGCTCTCCATGACAACATTCCAGTCATGGCAGCTGTCCCAGCACGGCTCTGGAATCCCAGTGGGATCAAAGCCCTGGGACTGCTCACAGGTCTCTGGTTCCTCCTCTTTCCTCCCCATCCTGTGTTGCTGTAAAGCACTTAATAGAAGTGTTTGCTGGAGACAATATCCCAGTGGGAATGCAAAGGAATGCACGCCAGTCCTGTGTAGTGATTGTGTCTTTGGCTGCCTGTGCTTGATCCAGGAGTTCCCTCTTAATTCTCCTTTGGCTATGAGGGACTTTCTCCGATGTTTCCCTGCTGGCTTCTATTATCCCAGGAGTCCCTGGCTCGTCTCTGTAAGACATCAGGTGTGCTCCAGTGCGGCTGCTCCATCTCAGACTCACTGCAGAGGGCCCTCACAGGTACCTTGTCCCTTTAAGTTTTTCATATTCTCCCACAGTTTTCCAGGGATAAACCTGAGACTGTGCCTCTCCACCATCATATCTAATTAAAAGCCCTGTGACACTGCAGGGCCTCATGGAACCAAAGGGATCCTGAGACACTGCAGAAACTCATGGAAACAAAGGACCCTGGGACACTGTGGAACATCATGGAATCACAGGGCCATTGTGATGCTGTGGAACCTGCTGGAACCAAAGGAACCCTGGGACCCTGCAGAGCCTGATGGAACCCAAGGAACCCTGGGACATTGCAGAACCTCATGGAATCAAGGGGCCACTGGGACACTGACAAGCTCTGTCATGGTTTAACCCCAGTTTGCAATTCTGTAGATGTTCACTCACTCCCACACCAGCTGGATCAGGGGGAGACTTGGAAGGATGAAAGCTGCAAAACTCGTGTGTTGAGATAAAAGACACTTCAGAGGGAGAGCAAAACTGGGCACATAAGCAAAGAAAAACAAAGAATTAATTCAGCACTTCCTATGGGAAGTGGGTGTTCAGCCACCTCCGGGGGAGCAGCGTCCCATCCCACAGAATGGTTACTTGGGAAGACAAATGCCATCACTCCAAAACCTTCCTTTCCTTCTTCCCCTCACTTTATATACTGAGCATGGTGTCATCTGGTCTGGAATATCCCTCGGGTCAGTTTGAGTCACCTGTCCCGGCTGTGTCTCCTCACAGCCTCCCAAATTCCTTGCCAGCCTGGCTCTCCAAAAAGCAGAAATGGCCTTGGCTCTGTGTAAGCCCTGCTCAGCAATAACCAAAACATCTCTGTGTTATCAACCCTGTGTTCAGCACAAACCCAAAACACAGCCCCGCACCGGCCACTGGGAAGAAAATCAACTCTACCCCAGCTGAAACCAGCACAAACTGTTACCAAAGCAGTCGTATTTTTTAAACCGAGTCTAAGTAGCAGCGGGGAAAGATGTTGGAAATTCTTTTTACTGTTGTACAGTAGTGTTTGATCCCTACATCTGTGATTAATAGCCTTGTGCCAGCCCTTGCTTCCTTATTTCCCTGTATCAGTGATTAACATGTACTTGCAAATATCTTAATTTTGAGAACAAGGATTGTGTGTCAGAGCAAAGAATGGTAAGAGAAGTACATTATGACATGACCACATGTCTGAGATGCTTTCATGGAGAAAAGATTCACAGGAAGATCCAAAACCATATCCAAGTAAGTCCATGGAAGTGATTAATACATATGCCTGTATTCAGGAAATGTAATGAATATGTAATAGAAATGTCATGACTATTAATTTCATGAAGATAAAGTGGTCTGTGAGGTTGCTGGGTGTGCATGCTTTATGGAGCTATCTTCATGCACCCAGCACACTGAATGAAGTAATGTGGGCTTTCTAACCCAAAAAACTGGTTGCAGAGTTGGTTTCCCAGTTTTCAGTGCCAGAACCTCATGGAACCAAAGGGGCCCTGGGACACTGTGGGGGCTCATGGAACCAAAGGGGCCCTGGGACACTGTCAGGGGCCTCATGGTGCCCAGGTTTGAGGAATCCCTTGGGTGCTGGTGGCTCGGGGAGCAGCTGCAGCTGGAATTGTGGGATGAGCTCTGGGGACGGGGCCTCAGACAAAAGGCCGTGAGCTGCTGACCCTGGAGCAGCCAAGTGAGAGGACACTTGGAGACACGGCAGGAGACGAGGACTCAGCGGGAAGAGCAAGTGTTTTGTGTGCTTGGACTGTGAGGAGATAAAATCCCATGGGGTCCTTATTTGGGGGTCCCTCCTCGAGGCACCAGCTCAGCCTGTTCCTGTGTTACTGCACCAGGAATAAAATGTTTTACTGTTTTTCAGACATGAGACTCTGTCATGGGAAACCTGGGGTGGAAGCAGTGAGGAAACCTGGTCTGACTGTGAGAGTGGGGGGTGTGGGGAGTCACAGGGGACCTGTCAGGTCACTGGAGCTGCTGCTGCTGGGAAGGGGCCTCAGAGTGAGCAGTGCCAGTCTGGGCTGGTGGGAGAGTGATTGCCAGGGAGCCTTGGGAATGGTGAGACTGGGAAGTTACCTAAAGAGTGTGAGGGAGATCTTGTGTGCAGAGACCCCCAGGAGCCCCCTGAGGCGCTCTGCTCGTGGTGGGGATGTGGCCAGAGAGGCACTGGGTGTGCAGGGGCTGAAGAGGGGAGGGGACAGGGACATGGGGACATACATGGACATGGGAACACACACGTGGACACAGGAACACACACATAGACATGAGAACACACATGGGCATGAGAAAACAAACACATGGACATGGTAATACACACATGGACACAGGAACACACAGAGACAGACTCAGAGCATTGCTTTGCTGAAGGGGTTTATTGATCTTTCCAGGAAAATTCCCAGGGCACCCAGGGGATCAGGTAGGGGGGTCTTCCAGGGATGATCATCTCCTTATGCTGCTGGAAGGGGAAAGGAACCACCAGTTCCAGTCCTGAAAGACGGAGCCCAAAATGTCACACTTGATGTCCAAAGGAACATGAGAAGGCCTTGTCCCCACCCCTTTTCTGCAGGGACCTGGGCCAGGAGAAGGGAATTGGAGCCCTGGATATACCTGGGACAGGACTTGGATCCTGACATCCATGTGACCACCCCAGGATGCTCTGAAACTTCCCAGAGCCCCTCCCTGCCCTCACGGTGACCCTGGGGGTCTGCAGTGTCCCCCCAGTGCAAGGAAAGGCTTGGGAGCAGCTCTGTCCAGCTCCCCCAGGACATGGATCTGGGACAGCCCTCTCTGTGTCCCTCTGCTGTCCCCAAGCTCTGCCCACCCCGGAGGGCTCAGAGATCCCCCAGGACCCTCTGTGGGGCAGAGGTCCCTCTGATATTTCTCACCTGGGGAGGCAGCGGAGGGTCACTTGTGCACAAGCTCCACCTGATCAGCCACGGAGGGCTGGGGAAAAAGGGCAGGTTAGGGACACACTGGGATGTACTGGGGCATTCTGGGGCACTGGTTGTAACCATGAGAGGGGAGGTTCGGGGCTCAGCAGAACTCGGGGTACCCCTTTCAGACCTCTTCACTCGACTGGCTTTAATCTCTCCCTCTGCAGAGACTGTGAGGTGTCACTGGCGTGTCCTAAATCCCAGTGAGGGACGGGAGGGTGGGGGTGAGATTTGGGGCACCCCAAAGGACAGGGATGGGGGTGTTTAAGGGACACGACTCTGCAGGATGCAGGTTGAGGAGGAAGGAAAACCAGCAGAGGGGACATGGGGAATAAATCAGGGGGTGAGAGGGGGCAGGAGAAAGAGAGGGGCAGGTAAAAAAATTGAGGGTTTGAGTGAGAAAGTCAAGGAAAAGATTTGGGAACACCACTGTCATGGGCAATGGGAACAGGAGCAGACTGGGAGGAAAGAGGGGAGGGAATGGACTGGAAATGATGTCCTGTGTGTGTGTACTGGAGTGTGCTGGGATGGATGGGAATACAGTGGGGGCCCTGGGAAATGGGTAGGAAACTGGGGTGCACTGGGGAGCCCTGGAGGGTCATGGCCATGAGAGGGAGGGTCTGGGCCCAGAACAACTCCTGGTACCCACCTGGAAATTCGTCAGACTCGCTTGAGTGACTCCACTCTGTGGAAAGACCATGAGATGTCACTGGTCACAGGGGTGTCCCCAGTCTCAGTAAGGGATGGGAGGTCAGGGGCAAATTTGGGATCCTACAGGAAATTTTTTTCACAGGAAAAATCTGGGGTGCACTGGGATGCCCTGGAGGGTCGTGGCCATGAGAGGGGAGGGTCTGGGCCCAGAACAACTCCCGGTACCCACCTGAACTTTCATATGACTCGCTTGAGTAACTCCACCCTGTGGAGAGACCATGAGATGTCACTGGTCATGGGGACAGTCTCAGTAAGGGATGGGAGGTCAGGGCCAAGAATAACTCTTGGTACCCACCTAGACTTTCATCAGACTCGCTTGAGTGACTCCACTCTGTGGAAAGACCATGAGATGTCACTGGTCACTGGGATGTCCCCAGTCTCAGTAAGGGATGGGAGGTCAGGGGCAAATTTGGGATCCTACTGGAAATTTTTTCACAGGAAAAATCTGGGGTGCACTGAGGTGCCCTGGAGGGTCATGGTCATGAGAGGGGAGGGTCTGGGCCCAGAACAACTCCTGCTACCCACCTGAACTTTCATATGACTCGCTTGACTGACTCCACTCTGTGGAGAGACCATGAGATGTCACTGGTCACAGGGGTGTCCCCAGTCTCAGTAAGGGATGGGAGGGTCTGGGCCAAGAACAACTCCTGGTACCCACCTGGACTTTCATCAGACTCGCTTGAGTGACTCCACTCTGTGGAAAGACCATGAGATGTCACTGGTCACGGGGATGTCCCCAGTCTCAGTAAGGGATGGGAGGTCAGGGGCAAATTTGGGATCCTACAGGAAATTTTTTCACAGGAAAAATCTGGAGTGCACTGAGGTGCCCTGGAGGGTCATGGCCATGAGAGGGGAGGGTCTGGGCCCAGAACAACTCCCAGTACCCACCTGAACTTTCATATGACTCTCTTGAGTAACTCCACCCTGTGGAGAGACCATGAGATGTCACTGGTCACAGGGGTGTCCCCAGTCTCAGTTAGGGATGGGAGGTCAGGGGCAAATTTGGGATCCTACAGGACGGGGATGGGGGTGTTGAAGGGGGGGGGGAACTGTGGAGGATGCAGATGAGGAGGAAGGAATTGCAGTGGAGGGGACATGGGGAATGAAACAGGGTGGGGGAGGGGGAGAAAGAGTGGGACAAGGAACAAAAATGGAGGGATTGAGAGGGGGAGGTCAAGGAAGAGGATTTGGGGACACCACTGTCATGGGGAATAGGAAAGGCAAAAGACTAGGGGGAAAGAGAGGAAATGGACTGGAATTGATGCCCTCTGGGGATGTACAGTGTGGGATGGGAATACAGGGAGGACCTGAGAAAGGGGTCTCCACAGGAAAAATTTGGGGTGCACTGGAATGCCCTGGAGGGTCGTGGCCATGAGAGGGGAGGGTCTGGGCCCAGAACAACTCCTGCTACCCACCTGAACTTTCATCAGACTCGCTTGACTGACTCCACTCTGTGGAGAGACCATGAGATGTCACTGGTCACAGGGGTGTCCCCAGTCTCAGTAAGGGATGGGAAGGTCTAGGCCAAGAACAACTCCTGGTACCCACCTGAACTTTCATATGACTCACTTGAGTGACTCCACTCTGTGAAGAGACCATGAGATGTCACTGGTCACTGGGGTGTCCCCAGTCTCAGTAAGGGATGGGGGGACCAAACTACCCCACGGATCCCACAGGGGTGACCCCAATTCCAGGATTTACCATGATGTTTGAACCCCCACCTATGATGATGCTTTGGGGAAGGAGAGCAAAGGGTTGGTCTTGATTGTCCCTTGTGGGGCTGTTCCCCCCACCCCCCAGCCCCTGGCTGCCCCCTCATCTGAGAAGGAAAAAATGAGGTAACCATGGAGGTGCCCCTGGATAGTGAAAGAGAGAGGCTGAGACAAGTGTTTTCCTGCTTACCCATAAAATTCAGTCCTGCAGCAGAGCCGTTTTCAGGGCGACAAAACCAAGGCAAGAACTTAAAGGGGCATCGGGGCCAGGCATCTGCTGGGGAGCTCAGCAGGATGGTGAAGAGCAGGGCCACGCTGAGCACAGCGACCTTCATCTTCCTCTCACCCTGGGCAGCGCTGGGTGAGGCTGCACAGGGACAGGAGCACATTTATCCCTCCTGGGACTCCTCCCTGCCCCCTCCCCGAGAGCCCCCAGGGCAAATCCCGGCTGGGCACAGACCCCAGCCCTGGCCACAAGCCCAGCCCTGGCACAGAGTCCATCCCCTCCCCAGCACGGATCCAGCCACCTTCCCTGGCATCCGTCCAGCTTCCTGCATGGGGCACCTGCCCCTGGAAGGGCCCAGGCACCTGGGGGTGCCAAGGGGGGTGGGCAGGGAGCTGAAAGCAGATGGATACTCTGTGGGGACAATCCCCACTCCATCACAATCCATCCTCCAACTGCCCCCAAAGCCTGATCCCCCAATGCCCTAATGCCCATCCCTTCCCAGAGCTTTCCCTCTGGGACACCCCAGAGCTGAGCCCAGCCCCAAACCCGGTGTGTCTGAGTACAGTTGTCCCTGTTCCCACTCCAGCCCCTTGGCTGAACGAGGGGCTGGCACTGACCCCTCTCGCTGGGGCAGCAGGAGCCTGGGATCAGGAAAACAGGGAGGTGGGAGATAAACGGGCTCCAGGGCCATGGGCACAGCCGGGTGAGTGGGATCTGCAGCCTCTGCAGGCACTGGGGAGCACTGGGGAATGCTGGCCCTGGCACACAAGGGCTGGGCTCAGGCAAGTGCTGGGGTGGTGGCAGTGCCCGGATCCAGCCCACTCCCCACCACTGCAGCCCCCAAGTGCTCCAGGCCCAGCCACGCCCTCCCTGAGCAGAGCCCAGAGGGGCAGATCCACTTTCCTGGCCCTCCCCCTGTCCCATCTGGCCACTCCGTGTCCTCCCAGCTCCCCTGGGCCCCGCTCTGCTGAGCTGTCCCACACAGGGGGTCCCAGTGGCTGGGAGCCCAGCAGGGCTCTGGCTCCAGGCTGGGCTGGCACTGGGACACAGCTGCCCCAGCGCCCCTGTCCCCAGGGATGGCCCTGCCCTGCCCTCGGCCCAGCGCTGGCCCTGGGCAGGGTGGCACCTTCCCACCCCACTGTCCCTCCCTCCCTCCCCTGCTCAGAGGCCCCTCTCCACTGGGACCCCCGTGGGTGAGATCAATGGCAGGCACTGACTGGGGGCTCCCAGGAGCTGCCAGAGCCTCAATTCTCCACTGACATTTTGGGACATTTCCGGGACACCTTCCATCCTTACGGGACACTGACGATACAGAAGAGACCATTGTGGGGAGGTGGGAAAACATTTCAGGTGAATGACTTGACTGTTTGCCTTGGATTTTCCTGAGGAGCCGGCAGTGACCTGGAAGATTTTCCTTTTGCCTGTTTCTGCTTCGTGCCTCGTTTGTTGCATAATTGAGGGGGGGCATTTACAGGCCCTCAACACCAAAGGTCCGGTTCTGCACTACCCAAATTGTGGGATCCCAGATGCTCATGTTTGTGGATCAGCAGCTCATTGGAAGAGGGAAATGCCCCAAGTTTGGTGTTTGAGAGAGAGAGGGATGAGAGGCGTAACCAGGGTGCCTGAGGTGCAGCTGATCCCACCTGGACTGACTCCTTCCTTCCCCCTGAGCAGGGCTGGGAGCACCTGGGGAAATTCCACTTGTTCCTTCAGTCTCTTCTGTGGGATTTTTCCCACACTCTGGTTCCAAATGGATTTTGGCCCTGGCCGTTCTCCTCAGGCCATGACCTGCAGGGAGGTGTTGCAGTGACTCACAGAAGGAAAGGGGAGGAGAAAAGGGGGCCCTGTTCTCCCCACATTTACGTCCCCTTTCCCAATTTCCTGGTGCCCTGCAGTTCCCAGAGTCCCTCAGTAGCTGCCCACTGGGGGATTGGACTCAGCAGGAGGTCTCTGTCCTGCTGTACTGGTTTTGACTGGGATAACTGACTGGTTTACAGTCACTGCCCATCACAGGGACTTGCCTTGTCTCAGTAGAGAATCATGGAATCATGGACTGGTTTGGGTGGGAAGGGACCTTCTCAACTCGTGCCACCCCCTGCCATGGGCAGGGACACCTTTCACTGTCCCAGGTCACTTCAAGGTCAGTCCAACCTGGCCTTGGACACCTCCAGGGATGGAGCAGCCACAGCTTCTCTGGGCAACCTGTGCCAGGGCCTCCCCACCCTCACAGGGAAAACTTTCTTCCCAATATCCCCCTAACCCTGCCCTCTGGGAGTGGGAAGACATTCCATTCCCCCTTCTCCTATCACTCTAAGGCCTCCCTGGAGCCTTCTCTTCTCCAGGCTGAGCAATCCCAATTGTCCCAGCCTTTCCCGAGGGGAATTCCAGTGCCCTTTTTCGGGGACTGACACGTCACAGCCAAAGGGAAAACCCCTCAGTGGATATTTCCCACAAGTTATTCCTGCATGGACAAAACTGGCAGCACCTTTAGAAAGGGTTCCCTCCAACACTCTTTATTAATACAAACTGGGCCAGGTTAAAGGTTTGTGGTGGTCAGTGACAGGGTCTGGCTGCAAAAACACACTTCAGCCAATGTAAAAATTGTTTTTGAAGCAAAGCATGAGCACAAACTGTAAACCAAAGCAATCCACTAATAGATTAGGCAGCAAAACCCAGCTCCAGTCCTTCAAAGCAGTGACCAGCACGCAAAGCTGACACTTCTCACCCAGCACAGGTGTCTGGGGTGGGGGGAGGGAAGGAAGGCAGGTTCAACCCCTCCCTTGATCCCAGCAGTTTCAGTGGAAATCTCCCTCCTATTTTTTCCCCATTTCCAACTTCCTTCTATGCCATTTCTTTAGGTTTAGGAGGAGTTTGGGGAATTCTAATCAGAAGTTTGTTTCTCGGTGCCTCGGGAGCTTTGTGGGGCACCGTGACCTTATCACACCCGGGAAGCAGCAGCTGGTTTTCCTCTGGAATTCCAATTCTATTTTAACTTTTACCCTTATTTATCACTCCAAACATGGGACCATTTCTCTGGCTTGTCCAGGTCCCTCTGGATGCCATCCCTGTCCCTCAGGTGTGTGCCCTGCACGGCTCGGCTCAGGGTCACCGGCTAAGGGTGCCCTCCACCCCTTTGCCTACGTTGTAAAGGAAGATGCCAAATACTGTGGCCAGGAGTCAGGAATTCAAAGGTATGGAGTCCAGCTGGGGATTCCTTGCTGGAGATAAGGGCATGGACAGTGGGATTGGGAAGGGGGCAGCAGTGCTCGGCCTGTGGAGGCAGCTCCTGCTGGGTGGGAAGGACAGGAATGGCTTTGAGAAAGGTCTTGCAGACTCACAGTGGAGGAGGTGCCCAGGATCCAAGGGAATTCCTTGTGGTGGAGGCAATCACATCCCCTTGGGGTGCAAGGGCTGTAATGCCCCCCCGAGCAGCTTCACCTCCCCTGGGCTTCACCTCAGTCAACGTTCCTCAATTATCCAACAAACGAGGCACGAAGCAGAAACAGGCAAAAGGAAAATCTTCCAGGTCACTGCCGGCTCCTCAGGAAAATCCAAGGCAAACAGTCAAGTCATTCACCTGAAATGTTTTCCCACCTCCCCACAATGGTCTCTTCTGTATCATCAGTGTCCCGTAAGGATGGAAGGTGTCCCGGAAATGTCCCAAAATGTCAGTGGAGAATTGAGGCTCTGGCAGCTCCCAAGAGCCAGGCACTGCCACCACCCCAGCACTTGCCTGAGCCCAGCCCTTGTGTGCCAGGGCCAGCATTCCCCAGTGCTCCCCAGTGCCTGCAGAGACTGCAGATCCCACTCACCCGGCTGTGCCCATGGCCCTGGAGCCCGTTTATCTCCCACCTCCCTGTTTTCCTGATCCCAGGCTCCTGCTGCCCCAGGGAGAGGGGTCAGTGCCAGCCCCTCGTTCAGCCAAGGGGCTGGAGTGGGAACAGGGACAACTGTACTCAGAGACGCCGGGTTTGGGGCTGGGCTCAGCTCTGGGGTGTCCCAGAGGGAAAGCTGTGGGAAGGGATGGGCATTAGGGCATTGGGGGATCAGGCTTTGGGGGCAGTTGGAGGATGGATTGTGTTGGAGTGGGGATTGTCCCCACAGAGTATCCATCTGCTTTCAGCTCCCTGCCCACCCCCCTTGGCACCCCCAGGTGCCTGGGCCCTTCCAGGGGCAGGTGCCCCGTGCAGGAAGCTGGACGGATGCCAGGGAAGGTGGCTGGATCCGTGCTGGGGAGGGGATGGACTCTGTGCCAGGGCTGGGCTTGTGGCCAGGGCTGGGGTCTGTGCCCAGCTGGGATTTGCCCTGGGGGCTCTCGGAGAGGGGGCAGGGAAGAGTCCCAGGAGGGATAAATGTGCTCCTGTCCCTGTGCAGCCTCACCCAGCGCTGCCCAGGGCGAGAGGAAGATGAAGGTCGCTGTGCTCAGCGTGGCCCTGCTCTTCACCATCCTGCTGAGCTCCCCAGCAGATGCCAAGGTGAGACCCCCATGCCACGGGGATGGGCTCAGGGATGGGCCCCTTCCCACTCCAGGGGCTCCCCCAGGACTCCCCAGCACCCCCAGCCCTGATCGGTGCCACTTTCTTCGGCCACAACTCCCTCTGTCCTTCCCCTCCCCACAATTCCACTCCTGCTGCTGCAGCTCTGCTTCCTCACGGGATGCTTGGACCCTGCTCCATCCTGGGAGAGTCCCACTGGTTCCTGCTCTTTCTGCCCCCAGATCCCACCTTTTTGGGCATCCCCATCCCATCCTTTTGTCCTCTGAATCATCTCCCCAGGATCTCCTCTGTTTCCCATCTGAGGTCAAGGCCAAACCCAAACTGGGCGGAACTGGCCAAGCCCCACTTGAGTCCAAAGAGGACAAACAGGCCCAGGCTCCACACTGGGATAAAGTGGGACAGGGCCTGGCCAGGCTGAGCTGGGACAAAGTGGGAAATGCCCTCCCCTGGCCGATTCCCAGGGCCTTTCCTGCAGTCTTTCCCCTCCATCCCTCACCTTTCCTCCTGCACTGGTGTCCCCACCTTCCCTGGGACCCGCAATCCCAACTGGCCCCGCTCAGCCTGGGCTACAGCCGGGCCTTGGAAGGGGTGGGGACAGCCCTGTCTCCCTCAGCCCCACAAGGGCCAATCCCAACCAAGCCTTTGCTCTCCTCCTGCAGCCCTTTGAGGCCAGTGGTATTCTCTGCGATGGGGTAAGTCCTGGACTTGGGGGCCACCCAGTGTGGGAACCAGGGGGCACTTTGGGCTCCCCATCCCTGACTGGCACTGGGGATCCCCAGTGACCCGTGACGTCTCCTTGTCTCTCCACAGGGAGGTATCATCAGTGGCCCGGTGGGTACCAGGGGTTGTGCTGGGCCCAGACCCTCCCCTCTCGTAGCCACCACCCTCCAGGGCATCCCAGTGCTCCCCAGTCCACCCCAGTGTTTCCCGGGGAGGTCCCTTCCTCAAGGCCCCCACCCCATTCTATTCCCTCAGTCCCCAGTACACACACACAGGGCATCATTCCCAGACCATTCCTTCCCCTCTTTCCCGCCTAATCCTTTCCCTTTCCCATTGCCCAGGACAGTGGTCTCCCAAAATCCCCTTCCTTGACTCCCCAGTCCCAACCCCCCTCCCAATCCCTTCAAGTTTTGTGCCCTTCCCCATTTCTCCTGCCCCCACCCATCCCCTGCTTCATTCCCCATGTCCCCTGCACTGGAGTTCCTTCCCTCTCACCCCCACCGTCCCATCCCTTCCAGACCCCAATGCCCATCCTGTGGGGTCCCCAATTCCCCCCGTTCAGTGTCTTTGGGTCCCTCCCAAACTCCTCCCCACCCTCCCTGGAGTTCCTGAATTGCCCTGGCTCTCCCTGTCTCCATCCCCACCCTGGTCCCTGCAGGAACAGGGATCCTGGGGAAACTGGGGGGAGTGGGGCTGGGGGGAGCAGAAGGGATCTTCCCCCTCAGACTGGTGGCCATCCATGGGCTGGGGGGGGGCTGGGGACACCCGTGTCCCTCCCACAGCCCCACAGGGGCCAATTCTGCTCAAACCTTTTCTCTCCTTCCCCAGCCACTGCAGGGAATAGGAGTAGGTGGATGTATCGGGGTAAGTCCTGGAGTTGGGATGCCCCCAGTGTGGGAAATGGGGAGAAATGTAGTCCCCCATCCCTGTTGGGACTGGGGACACCCCAGTGACCAGTGACACCTCACGGTCTCTCCACAGGGAGGCATCGGTATCAGCCGAGTGAAGAGGTCTGAGGTGGGTACCCGAGTTCTGCTGGGCCCAGACCCTCCCCTCTCATGGCCATGACCCTCCAGGGCATCCCAGTGTGCCCCAGTACATCCCAGTGTGCCCCAGTACATCCCAGTATCTCCCAGTACAGCCTAGTGTGCCCCAGTGCATCCCAGTGTCTCCCAGTACAGACCAGTGTGTCCCAGTACAGCCCAGTGTGTCCCAGTACCTCCCAGTGTGTCTCAGTGTGTCTCAGTAAATCCCAGTGTGCCCCAGTACATCCCAGTGTGTCCCAGTACAGCCCAGTGTGTCCCAGTACAGCCCAGTGTGCCCCAGTAGAGCCCAGTGTGTCCCCACCCCTGCCTTTGTCCCCAGCCCCCCGTGGCTGACCAGGTGCAGCTTCTGCGCGAGTGACGCTCCCTCGGCTGCCTCTCTGGATGCCCCCCCAGGTGAGAAATATCGGAGGGTCCTCAGCCCCCCAAAGGGTTCTGGGAGGGTCTGGGGGGGGGTCCCTGAGCCCCCCGGGTGGGGAGAGCTTGGGGACAGCAGAGGGACACGGAGGGGGTTGTGCCTGCCCCGTGTGCTGGGGGAGCTGGACAGAGCTGTCCCCCCCAAGCCTTTCCTTGCACTGGGGGGGCTCTGCAGCCCCCCGGGGTCACCGGCAGGGCCGGGAGGGGCTCTGGGAGGTTTCAGAGTGTCCCGGGGTGAGGGGCTCTGGGGGCCACAGGGATCTCAGGATCCAATTCCCTTCTCGTGCCCTTTGTCCCTGCAGTGGGGACAAGGCCCCACCCATGTCCCAGTGGGCACCAGGGGTGACATTTGGGGCTCTGTCTTTCAGGACTGGAGCTGGTGGTGACACCCGTGTCCCGTCCCCCTCCAGTGGTATGAGGAGATGATCATCCCTGGAGGGATGCCCTGGGTGCCCTGGGAATTTCCCTGGAAAATCAATAAACCCCTGCAGCAAATGCTCTGTGTCTGTCTGTGTGTGAGTTCCCACATTCACATGAGCATTCCCGTGTCCATGTGTGTTCCCACGTCCCCTGGGGCACGGCGGGAAACAGGGTCTGACTGGGGCTGTCCAAGCACCATCCCCAAGGAGCACAGGTTGGTGTCAGGGCTGGGGAGGATCAGGGACAACCAGCCTGAAGCCCCTGGGTCCTTCACTGTGCTCTGGGAGGGATAGGAAAGGGTATAAAAGGAGCCAGAGGGATGTAAAATATTCCCAGATATCAATACAGGCTCAGGGATGAAGGGATCGAGAGCAGCCCTGTGTAGAAGGACATGGGCATACTGGTGGATGAAAAGCAGGATGTGACCCAGCAATGGGAGCTCACAGCCCAGAAAGCCCCCGTGTCCTGGGCTCATCCCACAGCGTGGGCAGCAGGGGAGGGGCGGGTTCTGCCCCTCTGCCCCGCTCAGGTGAGACCCCACCTGCAGCGCTGCCTCCAGCTCTGGGCTCCTCTGGGTGTCTGTAACGCACCCCCCCAATGGGAATGGCTCTTGGGGATTTCCCTGCCAGCCCTGGCATCTCCTGCAGCTCCATGGGGTTCTCAGCACAGCAAAGGCAGGGACCTCTTGGGGCAGTTCCAGAGGAGGCCCCCAAGGTGATCAGAGGGCTGGAGCACCTCTCTGCTGGAGACAGGCTGAGAGAGTGGGGGCTGTTCAGCCTGGAGAAGAAAAGGCTGTGGGGACACCTCCTTGGGGCCTTCCAGTACTTCAAGGCACCTGATAGGAAACCTGGGCAAAAGTTTCAGTAGGGCCTGTCACAATAGGACAGGGGGTGAGGGGGTTGAACTAAAAGAGGGAGGTTCAAACTAGAGAGAGGGAAGAAATATTTAATGAGAATGAAACACTGGAACACATTTCCAGGGAGGTGGTGGATGCCCCAACCTTACAAACATTCAAGGCCAGGTTGGATGGGGCTCTGAGCAATCTGATCTGGTGAAAGATGTCTCTGCTCCCCCTCCAGGGGATCCCCTGGCCTGTGGTGTTGGCTACCGGAGTGATCGGGCAAGGATGCAAGTGCCCAGAGAGCAGAGGGACCACACAGCACCTCTGTTAGCAGGGACATATTGAGATGAGTTGGGAATATTTTGGATCAACACACTCAGGCTCCACTACTTTGCCTCTCTGTGGAGGCACAGAACTATCGGAAGAGACTGAAAACCACGAGGTCCCTCAGTGTCACAGGGTCCCTTTGGTTCCCTGAGGCCCTGCATTGTCACAGGGTCCTCCTTGCCATCAAGAGTGCCAGAGGGGCCCCAGGGCCCCGTGAGGTCCCGCAGGGTCGAGGGGGACCCTTGATTCCCTGTGTCCCTGGAGTGTCACAATGTCCCCACGGCTCCAGGAGGCCACAGACGAGCAGCACTGGGCCGACATCAAAGGACCAAAAAGTGATGTCACCATGAACTCTTGAGGGCTGAAAGGAGCTGGGTAGACCTGAAGGCCAAAAAGAACCGGGTAGACCTGCAGGCCGAGCCGTGCCCTGGAGCCAGGCAGGCCTGATAAACCAAAGGAGCCGGGAAGACCTGGAAACACCATCCCACCCCGGACCTGGATTTTGGTATCAAGAAATGCTTTTGGCAAAAAGCAGGTGGAGTGGTGGGAGGGGCAGAGGCAGCAGAGCCCAGTGCAGGAGCCACCGGCTCCAGGCACGACCTCCCCACCCGCCGGGAGAGCGCAGCAGCCAGAGCCCTTTGCCGGCTCCAGCTCCCGGCACTGCTGGGGGCTTTTGTCTTCGGTTTTGGGGTCTGATGTGAGGGATTGTTTCTGTGGTGGTGGGTGGCAGAGGGGCTGAGGGATTGGGCTTGAGAGGGACGCCTGTCCCCTCAAGTGACAAAGCTACAGACAGGGATCAGGTGTTCCTGCTGGGCCTGCAGACCAGGTCTACCCACTGGGATAGGACACCAGGTCTACCCGCTGGGCACAGAGACCAGGTTTATCCAGTGGCACTCAGGGAAGGGAGGGAGGATCACCATGCTATGTTCCATCATTTTCTCCAGCTCCACTCACCGGGCACAGACAGCAGGTGTAGTGGGTTGGCCCTGGCTGGACCCCCTAAAGCCTCTCTCTCACTCCCCTCTGCAACTGGAAAGAGAAGAGAAAAAAAGCACTGAAGGATTCACAAGCTGAGAGAAGAGCTGGGACAGGTCACTCACTGAGCACCTTCAGGGGCAAATCAGACTCCAAGTGAAACCTCAGAATAAAAGAACCGCTGAGAGAGACTTTGCACCTTTAAGCAGCAAGGTATTTGTGTTTATTCAATGCTGGACAAACTTGCTGGGCTCAGAAGTGCAAAAGCAAGCCATTTTATACACTCTAGATCCATGGTTACACCCTGGCTCTGGGCCCCTACATCTAATTCAAACACCTAGTTTACCTGATTTCTCACCTTGTGGCCTATTGTATACTATTCCCTGGCACTCTTTCTATAATGACACTCTGGTCTCCAGTGAGCAGAAGAGAACATGATTATTAACCAGTGCTCCTAAGATGTTCTAACAGCAACACAGGCAGAGCAAACCTCGGGCAATTACCTTCTCCTGGCTCAACAGGGCAAGGTATCCCAACTGAGCCACCTCCTTTTATGCCTTTTTGCCATCACAACTGATTTTATTACAAACACGATCAGAGCAAGAGAGCGAGAAATAAAATCATCTGGAAAACATCTTTCCCTCCCCACCCCTCCTTCCTTGCAAACTCCACCTCCGTCCCCCCAGCGCTGCAGGGAGACAGGGAATCCATCACCATTTGGCTGTGGAAGATGGGCCAGAGAGAATGAGAATCATGGAATTATTTAGCTTGGAAAAGACCTTGGAGATCATCCTTGCTAGAGAGTCTCGAGGTGCAAGAAGGACTCCCTGGCTTTCTAAATGTCCCAGGGAAGGGTTTTTAGGCGCAGCTGAATCCTCTCTCAGCTCCAGACTGTGTTGGTAGCTTAAATTTAAAGGAATTCCAGAGCTCTGGGAAGGACAAATCCTGATGGGAGGGAAACAAGGGCTGAGCACATTGGCTTGGGGGTTCCTCCTGCCCAAGTCCATCTCTAGAACTCACCGGGCATCCTGGGACCATAAAAACCTCCAAAACACCAAGATTGAGCCCAGAAAAACCCAAACCACCAAGATTCAGGCAAAACCCCCTCAGAAACAGCAAGAAGAATCCTGCCCCCCAAACTGTAAAAAGTTGAGATTCAGCAAAATATACTCCAAATTATGAAGATTCGCCCAAAATAAATCTCCCCCAGGAGTTCCCCCTCTCTGGTGTGTCCCCTCTGGGGTTCAGAGGGTCTCCCCTGTCTGGGATGCTGGGAGTGTCGGGGGTCCCAAGGGTCCCTTCTCCTCTGACTCTCACCTTTGGGGTGCCGCCTTCCCAGACATTCCCCCTCTCCAGGTTCTCCACCTTGTTGTCCCGGGGATCCCAGGGGTCCCCACTCTCCAGGCTTCCCCTTCTCCGCTCCCCCCATTTCAGGCTCCCGGGGGTCCCGGGGCTCCTCCCTCTCCGTGCTCCCCCCTCCAGCCTGCCGGGGGTCCCCCAGCTCCGGCATCGCCCGCTCCGCCCTCCACCCTCGGCAGCTCCCAGGGGGACCCCAAAACTGCTGTGTCTGCCCAGCCAGCCCCGGGCTGACAGTGGCCCTGACCCTGTCCCTGCTCCTCCCTGCAGGCTCCGTGGCCGGGCACACTTTGTGTTCCTGGGTGCCACCAGCTCAGCAGCTGCAGCCGCTCCAATCAGCGCCCGCAGCTCTGCAGCAAAGCCCCAGCTCACCTGGCACACAGGGCATGGACACAGCACCTTCTCGCTGCTGGGCACTCCCAGCTCAGCCTCTTCCCCAGCACGGGGCTCTCCTGCCTCAGCACCACCTCTGCCTTCCACTTCTTCTCAGGGCCACCTCAGGGCCTGCTCTCCAGGACAGGAACCTGCAGGGAGGGCAGATGATGTGCAAGCCCAGGGGGGCCTGCTTGCCGTGGCCTGGGGGCTTCTTTCTCCTGCCACAACCACCCCACAACTTCTCCTGCTTTTCTAACCCCACATCTTTGCAGACTGACCTTGTCTCTCTGTCTGCACAGACACATCTATCCCCTGTGGACAGAGCCTCCAGCATGTGCTGCCCTGGCAATGGCACCCAGAGAATCCCAGAATCAGCCGGCTTGGAAAAGACCTCCCAGATCATCAAGTGCACCCCTTGATCCAACCCCGCCGTGGTTCCCAGACCGGGGCACGGATGCCCAGGGGAGGGGCTTTGGGGCTCTCCCAGTACAGCCCAGTGCCCCCAGTACAGCCCACTGTGTTCCTGTCCCAGGGTGCCAGGTGATCCCTCTTTGGGGGGTTTGATTGGGATTTGGGGCATTTTGGGGGCCTCTGGGTGCATTTGGGGGAGTTAAAAGAGGTCTTGGGAGCATTGGGGGGTCAAAGGGATCTGGGGGAGGAGGTGATTAAAGGAAAAATGGGGGTTAGGGGACATTTGGGGGCTTTATTGGGGCCTGGGGGGGACAGGAGGGGCAGCACCACAAGCAGGTGAGTCCTGAGACCCCCCTGGTGTCCCCAAGACCCTCCTGCTGTCCTCAACTTCCCACTTGGCACCCTGAGACCCCCCTGGTGTCTCCAGTGTTCCCAGGGCCTCCCCATGGCCCCAGTTCCCCCCTTGACACCCCCCATTCCACTGGCCCCAAACCCCATCCCTGATGTCCCCAACCCTCCATCTCCCCCCAGAAGACCCCCCTGGACCCTCTGACCCCCAAAATGGCCCCGTCCCCCCAAGCTCACAGAAAAGCCAAGGACATCTGGGGACACATTGGTGAAACTTGGGGTGCTTTGGGGGGCACTGGGTGATTAC